GGAGGCCCCATCCCTGGGAACATTCCAGGCCAGGTTGGCCGGGGCTGTGAGCAACCTGATGTGGTTCAAGGTGTCCCTGCTCCTGCAGGGGGGTTGGGCTGGGTGGCCTCTAGGGGTCCCTTCCAACCCAAAACATTCTACGATTCTAAAAACCTGCATGCCCTTCTGAAAGCACGATGTGAAAAGAGCAATCAGGAACAAGATATGGAGTGGTGTTTCTCAGGTGTCGTAGGCAAGGGATCCCCATTCGAGATACTCACTATGGCCAGGTTCACCCAGGCAGTTGCCAGCTGAGTAAGAGTCGCATCCTCGTCCTGCTCCTGCATCTTCTTAAGTTCCTTGCTGCAGAAGCAAAAGCGGGAGTCACATAACAGAAACACAAGGCATCTTCTGCACTTCTTTAAGACAGAAACACAAGGCTGTCGTCTCCTCTCTTGGTTCTTCCGTCACTAAAGCGCAGCAGCCACAGCAAACTGGTACCATGGTGCAAACACCTCAATATTTTACTGAAACGACCTGTGAAGGACCTCCCTGTTTTACTCCCCTATGGGAAGTCAGAAACCCAGGACTAAACAAACCATGTCCGGCTGAAGGTAAGATTAAACCCAGAGGTCCCCCTCTTCCTTTAGCTGTATCCAGCTGTATTAGCTCCACAACTTTTGCAGCCTGAAGGATAAAAACCTTTCGCAGTGCACCTGTACCTACACACAAGTTCTTGTGCTCACTGGGGAGGCCAGGTGGTGAAAATTCTCAAGGCCCACTCCAGAAGAGCACTGTTAAGAAGCAAGGGGACACAAACTTCCTTACCGAGCCAGATCAAGCCTGTCGAGCTTCAGAAGAATCTGTATCATCATGGCCATGCTGCAACAAACAAAAGCAAAGTGATTTTCCCAACTGCAGGCCTTATCGCTCCCTACGCTTTGCCTGGGAGCCTGCTGCTTAGCAGAGAGAGGTACTGCCAGCGCCCAGGGACAGGCCGCCCCGCTGCGGGGAACCAGCAGAGCGGGCAGCTCTCAGAGCTGGACCCAGAACAGGGAAGTTTGCTTCCAGCTCCCAAGCGCTCCCTCGCCGTATTGACAGAACAATAAATACATATGCTCATTTCAGCAATTCTGAACACCCATGAATCAATAAATCAGGTTCTTAAGTTTCACAGGGGAGCAATAGTCTTGATATTGTAGGACAGGCCCCAGATCACTCACTACGTAGAAGGCAAACCTCAAAGCACTTTCTCAATGGTTTCAGAGCATTTTAGAGATAAGCCAGACCATTTCTAGGGCACCTCTCCCTAGACAAGAGAAAGGCTTTGCTAGCTCACACCTCCGCGATGCCAGGGTGAGCCTCACTTACCATTCCAAGCTCTCCCCTTGATGCAGAGCACGCAGAGCTGCATCGGGATTTTTGTCATGGAAATAGATGGAAGCAGCCATCAGCAAGAAAGTAGTATTGGCTATATCAACGCTTTTTGCCATTTTCTTGTCCAAATCAGCAACAATTGCATCCCTACAAAGAGCAAGGGTGATAATTGGGGAGCGTTTCATTACTAAGCGAGACAAAAAGATCCTGCCTCCATACAGTTCTGCCTTTTTGAGACTCACTGCAAAACCACAGTAAATCACCATAAAAGACCACGCCTCTACAAGTCTTTCCACAGGGAAACACATTCCCTGCCAGACAGAGCTTGAGTTCCAACTTGTTATCAGACTTGCCTTTGACTCTCATTTGAAAGATATTCTGCAAACATCCTCACTGCCTGGAGCTCAGGACTAGCATTGGCTTTAATTTCATCCAGGACAACGCCGTATTTTCTCTGTTGAAGGCAAAGAAGAAGAATCTATAATTTACTCATCTTTTAAGAACACAGGAAATAATTGTTCCTTTTCTGAAACCTTTTTTTTTTTTTTTAACAACAACCACCAGTGATGGCAAATTTCTATTTTATGTCTCCCATCATACTCCACAAAGGCAGCCAAACGTCCTCACTGAGGACTGCTTCTCCACACAGCATTTTAAAGATAAAAAAGTACCTCTTTGAGAGGTCTCATCAGGTCATCCTGACCCTACAAACACCATGTTGCATTCCCAACTGCGTTGCTTTTGCGGGATGCGTATGTTCCAGTGCTGAAGGAGGAATTACCACCTAACCAGGTAGCTGTTTGGTTAAACCACCACAGTAATGCTGCGTTCACAGGACTCAGGCTCACAGCCCCCCCGACTGCAGCCCCGCCCTCAGCACAAGAAGGACATGGACCTGTTGG